AAAACAAAAATACAAAAAGAATAATATAAATACAAAGCACTAAGAATTATTTACATTTTATTAAATATAACAATAAGCTACATTGTTATTCAGTATCTGATACATCAAAAAAGAGCGATATAGTTCCAATTAGAGTTATAGAGTCTATAGAAAATAGAAAAATTAAAAGATCAATCCCAGCTTACCTTACGAAAATAACAGAGAATTTAAAAAGCTCAATATTTAATAAGCAAGTAAGTAGTTTGTTAAATGATAGAAGTAGATCATCAAATGTTAAGATTACTAATTTATTAATAGTTAAGTTAATAAATAGTCAAAGAACAAGTAATTACAATAATATGTAAAAACTAATATTACTTGTACTATATAGGGATAGTTAATTATAATTTTGGGTCTAACCACTCCCTCCCATGCAGCTATTTATTAACTTAGCAATATATTAATAATGTAATTATAGCATTAAAATAGTTTACTTATTTGATAACAAATCTGCAATGTTGGTTATAAAACAGTCGATAATAAGCGTTTCTCAATAAAATCTTATAAGAATATGTATTTAAGATCTAGTAGAAACCCAATTAGCTTACAGTATAAACTATAATAGAATGATTTAGAACTGTGTCCGGGTACTTTTGTTTTAATAAAAAATTGGATAAAATAATGAAACTAATTCAGACAACTCCCTATCTTAATATTTTTGTTCACTTTGAAATTAGAAATTATCACAGAGAAAATCCCAGAACCTAACCAAGGAAGTTTCTGGCTAGCCTTCAATTTTAATAGAGCATGATTCACCAGACAACCAAGTAATAGAGTTATAGAATACGACTAAACCTATAGTACTCATAGCAACAATCCAGATGTTAGCCCACTCGAACTGAGATCTGTTAGGTTTGTAAGCAGAGGCAATGGTGTAGTACAATGTTTTAGTAATAAATTAATATGTTAACATAAAGTGTTAGTACAAAGGTAAATTGAGAAAGTGTATTGAAAAATAAGTAAATTGATGCGGAATAGTTAAAATATAATAATGTATTTGTTTAAAATATAGATATAGTAATAAGGTGTTGAGAATTGAACGAGGATTAAGGGGAAAGAAATTAACAATACTTATACTGATTTTTGTATTATTAGGATCAAGATCAAAAGAAACCAAAGGATGGTTGAACAAAGACAATCAAACTAGGATGATGAGAAAGAAGCTAAATAAAATGAAGCTAATTAAATTTGATATCTAATATATTGATTAGAATAATTTATAAACATCGATTTCTGATGAGCTTTGATTAAAATAAAGTTTGTATTGTATCCCTTGATCTTTAATTTAGTTTTGATTTATATAATTTTAAATCTCTTGTTTTAAAATTTATGAGTAATTTGGATAGAGTAAGTTGAATAACACAAAGATGTTTTTGGCTTCATTACTTTCCGTCTTTTAAGCACTATTTGAGCGGAAAATTTATTGGTAAAATTCTTAAATACAAAAATACACCCCCATATATTGAATAAAATTGGCTATAATAGAATAAAATACTAATAGTTTAAATTTAGGAATAGACTTTCAATAGTAATAATAATTTACATATAATAATTGCTATGTAAAATGATTATCAATTGGTAATAACTTTAATATTAAAAATTTGGTCATCGATGAGAATATTGAATTTATTACCTAACTTCATAGAAAAATACTATTAGTGCTAAAAATAGGATCAAATCTTCATGAAGCGTACGGGACTCGAACCCGCAATCTTTAGGTCCGAAGTCTAAAGCCTTATCCATTAGGCCAACGCTCCAATTATTAGTAATGTATAATGTTGAAATATATTTAAACTATTTGTTAGTAAAGAACTTTCTAAATGAGTTGAATTGTTTTATTGACGTAACTTAGTTTGTTTCTAAAAAATAATGGATTATAAGGAAGATCAAGCATTCTAAGAAAAAAGAAAGTATTTGTGAAGTTAAGCTATTTTAATACTTAAGGAGTTTTATTTTATAGAATTATAAATTCAATCAAGTTGTATAATGACAATAGCTTTGAACCATAGCTAAAAAAGTGATGAAATTTAAGCTGGATAAATCAGAATATTGAGTATGAATATCAAATCAATTAATTCACTTATTTAATTTGGACAATTTGACGTTTTAGTAGGGATTTTATTGTTTCTATAATTGAATTGTTAATGACTAATTCGTCAAGTGTTATGTGGGATAAAGTGATTAATAGTTTAACTCAAATTATCATGATTAATATTTTTAATATATAAAAATTATTATAATTGAATAATCTTTATTTTTATTACAACTCTCCTTTATAAATACCTTCCACATCTCTTGAAGTAGCTATTTTTATTAATACAGTGACAATAGAAACTCAAATCTTGATTTTTATAGTAATTTCCTAAATTATTTTGTTAATTCTTTAAAATGCAAAAATAGATGCTTTTATCACTTAAATAATCCTTTTACGCTTTTCTAATTTCTTAATCAGCTGATGTTAAATTTGTATTCTTTTTAATTCCAGTTTTCAAATGTGACTAGTTGAATTTAAGCTAGAGCAAATCATCATTGATATTGACTATCACCCGACTAAAAAACAATTAAAACCTTTTTAAAAAGCATTATATATTAATATACTTTTTATTTAATTTTTGAGTTCATTTGATTTCAATCTCTCTCTTTTTTTACATTTAATTTATTGACTTATAATTCATTTTTCTTTTATAAAAATATTCACTCATCCTTTCAAAGTAATAACAAAATATAATAATGGATTTTGGTATTGAAGTAGAAGCCGATTTACGTCAACATACAAAACATCCGCCAGTAATAAATGACCAAGTCACTGTTCAACCATCCGATTTTGAACTGGAGCCTAGTCTTATTGATAACAGTTTATTAGATCGAATGACCGAGGACTCTATTGAAGCATCTAAAGTACATCATACATATAAATTATATACCAACTATGTAGGTCGATTATTAACCTATCATTTAAAAGATATTCATAAAAAACCTATTTATCAAATTAATTTTGATTACGATGGAGCTATGATAGAAGAAGTTAGTAACCAACAACTATTAGGTCAAATTCAATCCAACTTCAACCAGAGTTATGAAGTAGGGTTATTTATTAATAATTGTTATAATCAAATTCATATTGTTAAAAATCATATTAATGAATATAAATTAAGTTTAAAAAATCAAAATTATAAAGAAGACACTTTTATTTGGCTTTGTTTACCTCGTGGCAAATGGAAATTAACAGAGGAAAGTGGGAAAAAAGAAACAATAGCTATATTTCAACCACCAGGTAAAAAAGCCATGAAATTAGGAGTATTAAGTTTTCAAAAAGAATTGAATTTTGTATTGAATTTGATTTGCTGTTTTTCATTTTCTTTTATTTTACATCATCATCATTATAAAAATCAATTATAAAAAGAATGAATTCTTTTCTTCTAAGTTATATTTACTCATTTCTTTTTTAATATTATTAAATAATTGTATTTCCTTTATTGTCATGTTTCTTTTTTCACTTTCTAATTGTTGATTGATTTCAAAATACTCAATTATTGTTTGTTTCATTAAGTTATATAATAAAGGTATTTCTGGAGTTACTGGTAAATAAAAGAATAATTTAGTTACTAAATCAATTACTTCATATTCCATATAAATACTTAATTCTTTGTTATTAATATTAAGTTGATTAATTATATTTGTAGGCATTTTTGGTATTAATTTTTGTAATATTAATATTTGAAAATCTACTGTAAATAAATCATTAATAGTTAAACAATGTATTAATATATATAAATAATTTAAATTAAAAAAACATTCATCTAAATAAATTGGTATTGTATCTTGTAATAATTGATATCTTAAATTTAATATTTTTTCTTTTTCTTCATTATATCTATGTTGTTGTTGATTATTATTATTATTATTTAAATATGGTTGAATAATAATTAATATTTTATTTAATATTAAATTCAATTCTTCATTTAATCCAAAATGTTGCGGTAAATAAATTAATTTTAAGAAATGAAATTGATTTAATTTGGCATCATAACATACTAATTGATTATCTTTAAAGTTTAAATAATAATATTCAATTAAATAGAATAATAATAAAACATCTTCATTTTCAAATGTCTTTTTCTTCTCTATTTGAACTGGCCAATATTCTGTTAATGGTTTTAATAGCCATAGTACATTGAAGTCGTTATCTTTATTATTAAAGTTCAATAACATTGTTGAATTTATATCTTTTAACCAATAGTTCGTCAATTTATTTAAAAATCTTTCTATTTTCTCTTCTTTTTGCTGTGTATTATTAATCAATCGTTGTTTAAATAACTTATTACAATATTTCATTGCTAATCTATTACATTCTATATCTTTTGAATATTGAATTAATAATGTTGCATAAACTAAGTTCTTATTTTCATATTTGTTATTATTTAATAATATTAACTTTAATAATATATGTTGCAAACTAGTAAATAAATAAAAGCAATCGTAATTATTATTGAATTGATTTAATAAATTTATAACAAATTTATAAATTTCTTCAACATAGTCTTCTTTTAGATCAAATGAAAGATAAGCTCTAATAACTAAGAATAATGAATTGAGTTGTTGAAATTGATTGTTAAATTGATTTAAATTATTGATTCCAATAGCTGGAAACAAACGTATAAATTTCATATTATCTCTTTTCATTAATAAGAATATATTTTCAATTGAAGTATTACAATCTAATAATTTCATTATTTTTTCAAATCCTAATTTGTCTTCTACTTGTTGATAGAACATTGAAACATCTTTATTATTGAATAATTGATGTTGATTAACTAATTGAAATTGACTACTTAAAAAATCAAGGATAGCTGCTAACAATCTGAAATCTTGAACATTCTTTATATTTTTTAATGTTTGATAGAATAATTCTCTAAAAAAAGAATAAATTAAACTTAATTCTGATTTATCTAATTGAATCAAATGTTGAACTGTATAACAATGTAAATAGTTATAAAAGGATATTAAAACTCTATTATCATTGCTACTGTTTTCCTTATTGTTATTATTTAATTGTTTCACTAATTTCATATAAACTTCATTAAATAATTCTTTAATTTTCAACCAATAAATGTTATAATATAATAATTGTTTTGCTAACTTAAATATTTCTTCATTAATGTCATTCTTTAATTGTGTCCATTCATTACCCTCCACTTCAATTAATAAATACTTTATCAAAGGCTGTAATCTCATTTCCAATTTTATAGCAATTTGAGGATCTGATTGACATAATAATCTTATTAATTTAATATATAATTTAATCCCACAATATCTTTGATATTCTTTAATCTCCTTGTTTGAAGGTGGCCATTTCATCTCCACAATAATATGTTGATTTAATGTGTCAATAAACCCTTGCATATTTACCATTAATTGTCCAAATTCATTAGAATAACTTACAAATAATATTAATAATTCTAATAGTTGATTTCTAACTTTGATTTCCATTCCTTTATTTCTTTGAATTAATTTATAAATTTCATTTAAAATGCCATGCCATATAAGTGAATTTACTGTATCATAAGTTTCCAGCCTGAGCATCTCAGTGTCTTTTTCTTCATCAATTAGAATTTCACTTAAATCAAATTTAAATAATTCACTATAATTAATTCCAATACAATTTTCTAAAAATTCATGTTGATTACTAATACCTATTAACCAAGTATGTAATAAATCAATTGTATGATAAATTAAAGTTAAGTTTCTTCCTTTTAAATTTAAAAGTAGTCCATAACCCAATCTATTCTTTACAAAATATTCTAATATGTTTTCCTTATCTTCCTCTAGCTCTATCTGTCTCTCTATTATATTCCATAATATTTTTTTAATTATAGAAATACTTAATGTTTTTTGATAAATATAACTGGAATTTAAATACATCATTAATTCTTCTAATGAATATCCCGCCAATTCCGGTGATTTACCATGGTGATGGAGACCATGATGAGTAGGTATATCTTGTTTAGAATTTACTATATCACCTTGAAAATTAAATCTTAATCTTAATAACTGATTTTGTTTTTCCTTTGGCTTGTCATTATTATCTGAGTCTGGTATTTCATCCATCCATTTTAATTTATCTTGTTCTATTGAGATATTTTTTTCTATTGCTTCTAAATGTGGATTTTCCATTTTTTCTTTTTCTTTCTGAGTTAATTGAAACATCACTTTCTTCTCCATTTTCTTTTCTACTTTTTCTTTACTTTCTCCTTCATTTTCTATCTCCTTAACTGAACCACCGCTAGCATTTGCTTCCTCTTGTTCCTTTATAATTCCTTTATCCTTTGTTAATACTTCAATCAATTTCGGATCTAAACTTAAAAGCAATTCTTGTCTTAATCTTATTATTTCTTTTTCACTCATCTCTTCCAATTTCTTTTCATTCTCCTTGCTAATTTCATCCATAATATCTTCACTATCAGCAATACTTCCCAACTTGAAATCTTTTTTTTGAATCTCGTCTTTTTTCTTAATTTCTTCTATCTCATTCCTCTCTTTATGTTGCAATATCCTTGGAAATCCACTAGTATTGATATTCTTCTTTAATATGGATCCTTTTTTCGTAAACTCTATTACTTTAGGCTGAGTTATTTCTCTTTCTTTAACCCCTTTTAATACTAAACCATCGGTAGATAATGGAGCTCCTTTACTGTCCTCCCCTTTTTTCTCACCGTTTCTCTCCAGCTCTCGACGTAAAGCAAATAAAGATTTTGTT